TCACTGGTGCCCCCCAGTGACTCCTCCCGGAACCCCTGACTGGGTACAGGATTGGAGAGGGAGACGGGGACCACCATTTCTCATTTCCACTGTTCGGGTCACGGTCACACCTGCTCAGTCAAYCCTCTGGATCCCAGAGCAATCAATGCTGRCAGGCACACTCCAGACACCATCCAATTTTCCTTCTGTGTATCATTCTGTCTCAAACTGTGTAAGGGACGCTGGACCCGTTTTCCAGCAGGTGACGCTCCCCACCAATAGATGGAGCCTCTCCCCAGATGCTAGCGATGCCTGCTCTAAACAGCATCGCTAGCATTGGAGGGACTGTGTTTAAAAAAAAAAAAAAAAAAAAAAAAAAAAAAAAAAAAAAAAAAAAAAAAAAAAGGGCTGGCCTTTGTTGCCCATCACCGGAGCGGAATTGGCTTGGACAGAGGGCATTGCAATTTGGTGAGGTGTTTTGTGAAGAGGAGGAGCATGTAAACAGTAGCAGATGATAGGAGGATTACATTGGGAGATTGTGATGGAGTAGAAGAAGACCAGAGTTGGCATGGGAGCAGAAGTCCTGAACATTTTATCTATATTCATTACAATGCATTCCATCTTTTGAGTTTTTCCTCACTCTTCTTCTTCCCTTTGCTATCCCTTGACGAGTGATCTTCATTTCAGCTTTTTGAATACATTCATGATTACAATGATGTAAGCTTCAGGATTTGAGATTTATTAACTTGTTAGTAATTATTACAATCCATGTATTGGTTTGTCTCCTCCCCTTGCACAGCACAGAAGCCTGCCCTCTGTGCACCAGAGCTTCTTTGTCAAGTTCGCCATGGATTGCTCTAGGGTGGGTAACTGGACTGATTTTGTCACCTGATTGGTCGAATGATTTGGAAATGGAATTCAGAGGAAGTTGGACGACATCATCAATTCTGATAAAGAGGAGAAAAAGAAGATGGAAGCAGAGCTGCACTCATTACGGTGAGGGTAGTCACGACTCCCCTCCCTTCCTCAGCCCCGGCACCAACTCTATCGACCAATGCCCGATGCTCCTTGCATCCAAAGTCTGTTTGCTGTACCATGGTTTTGTGGATGATGACGGTATGCTAAGCTTTCGTTTGCGGGTACCTATAGATAGGACTACCCACGTACTGACCCCCCATCTTGCACTTCTGCCGTAGCGGCTCGCCGCCTAGAGGCTGCGAGGAGCTACAAGGATGTTTTTGTGTACAGGGGCAGAGCAGTGTTAAATCCGTACACGAAAGGACGCAAATCAATGCTGCCGCCTCGGGATCCTTCAGCCATAATGGAAGCAAGCATGGAGTGGGTCTATTATGTAAGGGATGCTAGACCAGGTTTCCAGCTGACATTAAAAAAAAAAAAAAAGATTAGATTTGTAACATTTGTTTTAACAAAAAAAAGGAAAAACTCCGAAAAAGAAATTTCTTCCAGCTCGGATGCCCTCTTATGAGCTCTGCCAAGTGTGAATGTCTTTTTTTGTCATAAACCGCGTCTGATTGATACTTTTTTACTTTTTACAAACCATGCTTGGACAGGATGCTACCTGCCGCCGTTGAAACTCTGAGACGCGAGAACAGTAACTGCAAGGTACGTAAAAAAACTTCCCACATGTGCAGATGATGCTTGACAGCCACTCCTACTGTATTGGAATTTGGGATGTTTTCGAGTCCCTTCTAATTGTGGTATGTTGTGTGAGGAAATTCTCTCTTGTCACTTTTTTTTCTTCTTCTTTTTCATTGTCTTGTGTATGTTTGTTTCTTTGGGGATTGCATGGGTTCAGAGGGGTGGTGGTGAAGGGGTAAGGTAAGGAGCGCACAATGGTGCAAATGATATTGATGTTTGGTGACAACTCCTGTCCAAGTTATGGGGATAGTATATCCAGCTATGCAGTGAGCTGGGGGATGATCCTGGGCACACGTGTTGATGTTTCAAGCATTCTATGGTAATCTGTTTCAAGTATTCTGTGGACCAGCCATCCCCTATGGCATGGTACACAGCGCATTGATGGAGAGCTTCTTTACTAATAGTCTTGGAATCTATACTCTTCCTTTTCCGTTCCTTCTTTCCTGCAATACAACTGTGCCAGCATGTTCCATAGAGTACAAGTGGTGGCATCTGGGCCTCACTCTCTTGCTCTCCTCTTCACTCCCCTTTCTTCCATCTCTTCAAGACGCTATTACTTCCTCCCCCCTTCTCCTCTATCTCTGCTTTTCTCGGTTTTATGAGTGCGATTGTGGGATGACATTGTGCAAAACTGAAGATGGTCTACTCAATGTTGACAGTGGAATATGTGTCCCCATCTCGAGCAGTCATGCCATGCCATGTCATGCCTTTGTGTTCATCGTACGCCGTTTCATGGCTGTCACACTTTGCGAATATGTGGGAGCAGGAACCTGTTGCAGAGCAGCGGGAAACTGAAACTGAGAAGCAGAATCGGAGGTGGCTGTACTTATGCTTTTGTGAAAAATGAGTAACCGTTTCCTGCTTTTCTCATCTTGTTCTCTGTGGCAGACAAAATTGCACAAAACAGAGAATGAAGTCATGCAGCTGAAGGATTATGTTGCAACCCTCAAGCATGAAATTCAGGATCTGGAAAAAGGTCGCAGGTTGGTGTCCTTTCGACTTGTTGGAAATGAAAAGATCTGCGTCGTGTTGGGGGCAGATCTTTCAGATGCACCTTCCTCCTTTCAAAAAACAATCCAGCAAAAGAGACCCATTCTATCTGTTCAGAGAGAACAGAATGAGAGTCTTCGGGTACAGCGATATACTATGCTGTGCGGAACTTGTGCTTGCACTTGTGCGATCTAGAAAAAACTGGTGACGTGCTCAGGCTGGACTAGAACTTGAAAGACAGTATCAGTGAGCTCTTCTTTTATTCAAAATGTACTTATTTGTACCACTGGCCACAAAAGAGGGGTGCTAAACCTTTCTATCAGGAAAAAAGTTAAAAAAACAAACAAACTAACAGGTTGATAATCCCACTCTTTAAAAAAAAGCCTTTGCACAGGGGAAGTCACCGGAAGTGTCTTCTAAACAATAGGAAGTAGCGTGGGGGTTAAAGGGGACGGTAAGGAGCGCATAATGGTGCAAGAAACTGTATTGATGTTCGGTAATTACCGCTCTTCAAGTTACGTGAAGATATCCAGCTATGCAGTGAGCTGGGGAATGATCGTGGACGCATGTGTTGAGGTTTTAAGCGTTTAACGGTAATTTATTTCGAGTATTTTGTGGACCATCCATACCTTATGGCACAATACACTGCGCATTGATAGATAGCTTCTTTAACCTTAGGAATCTGGATTTGTCCTTTCTGCTCCTTTCTTCCTGCTATACAACCATGCCAAGATGTCAAACGAGACCGGGCATGTTCTGAAAGTTAGAAAGTGGTTGTATCTTCTTGAACTTTTAGTGAAGAATTCCAGCCCTGAAGCCGTCTTCTCCAATGGGGCTATGGCTGCTGGTCACCAGGTAAGCTTCCTCCACCCTTAGGCCTCTTCTCTCTCCCACTGCCTCTTCCACTCATCCTCCCACTTTACTCTTCTCCTCCTCCCTCTACTGGCTATTATTGTTTGCCTACCACCTCTACCTATGGCTGCCCGCCCAAGCACTCTCCCTCCTCTCTCTGGTGGCAGTACGGCACCATGGAACACTTCTCGAGTAGCTGGCAAGAGTGCAAGGCAGAGTGTGTGATGTGGCTGGATTGGCAGCGGAGATATATTCCTGGCCGATGGTCTGGGGCCCAGCTGCTGGCTGAGCCTGTCGCTGCTGGGGTCAGGGCAGCTTGCAACCCAGTGGGCCCTGGATTTATACTTTGTCTGCACTGTCCCATGTGCTTGTGATCTGTCGCCAAAATTGACTTCTGGAGGAATTTTTGACTCTTGGTCTTACTGGGTCAGACTGGGCCTGGCTCTTGGCTGTCTCCGGCTGAGTCACCCACTTCCAGGCCTGGCTGGCCCAGCAGGCCCAACCATTCTCAGTCCTACCAGTCTGAGAACATTTCTGAGGCCGTATCCAAGACCTCCACAGACTTTTACTACCATAGCCCTAGGACCTATAGACTGACCACAGGCCCGTTGGATACAGGTTTCTGACCCTTTGTCCCCACAAAAAAAGAAGAAAAGGTAGAATGCACGCTTGTTGAATGATCGGGAAGCAATGGTGTCAAAGAGAGATGCAGACACAAGAAACACATGTGAGATATGAACTTGGAGAGAATCTCCGCCAATCAACTTGACTATCAAAAATTGCCTGTGTCCATGCTGGACAAGACTTTGACTAGCCCAGGACCTAGAGACTGACCACGGGCCCGTTGGATACAGGTTTCCAACCCTGTTTCCACACAAAAAGAAGAATAGGTAGAATGCATGCATGCTTGTTGAATGATCAGGAAGCAATGGTGTCACAGAGAGATTGCAGACAAAAGAAACACATGTGGGATATGAACTTGGGGAGAGTCTCTGCCAATCAACTCGACTACACAAAATTCCCTGCGGTATGGCCACCAGCGAATCCACATCACTAAAATCTATGACCTCTCTCCCCCTCTCCCTCTCTCTCTGTCTATATCTCAGCCTCACGTTCTCTCTAAAT